TTATGCAAGATTATTTAGATAGCATTAGGTGAACATTAGGGAATTGGTTTATTTAATGAATTTGGTACACCAAGAGTTAGAACAGCTGATATGCCTGCTTCCTGTAAACACACCAACATTAATCACTGGGCCTCATTTTATATATGCTAGCGCGACTCAATAATGTGTTGCTTCTATAACCCAGTTAGGTTCCATATTTAATTGTATCAGTCTAGGTTAAAATATTTAGCATTTCTCTAATTGGTTCTTGTAGAAAACCATTATAACCCCTTTATTCTAAACAAGCTCCCACCATCTCCTAGATGCTTTGCGTGGTCAGGTCAATGCCCAAGGTATTTTTTTTTTGCTGTACACTTGATCCTCAATATAAACCTCAAGGTGAACTGATGTGAGCAGGGAGACTGAACTAATGAAAGGCAATACAGGAAAACTCTAAGCACTTCTTTATTTTCAGTTCAGGCAGCAAATACACTATTGATCCAGGTTCAGACACTGTGAAATGACTGGAAGCCATCAATGCATCACTACATTTTCTGACCTTCTACAGCGACCATAAATTCTTTTAGGTTCTATGGAGTAAACATGAAAATGGGCTGCAGCCATCCATCACCAACATGAGATCAAGTCATGTCCTGAAGATTCTGGTAGATAGGCATAGTACATCTTGATGTCTAGTGCACCTCACACCAAACACATATCACCATTGGGTTGGATTTCTCTAGGAGCACACAATAAGGCATGCAACGTCCCTCGTGAAACGTGAAATATGCATCTTTTCTGTATTTCCACTCCAAGCTTCTAGGCTGACATTGTCAGTAGAGCCTGTGCAATGGAGCAGAGCTAAGTCTCTCATTCAGGCAATCTGACAAGCCATGTCCATGTTTAATCTAACTGACTGTCTGACATATCAAGACATACAAAGAGCCTTCTTTTTTCAGGCCATGTGAGTAGGACATAGAAGGCGCTACTGCAATTTCATTAGCATAGGTCATTTTAGGAAGGCATGGGGTTAAGGCACTTGGCAATTCATTGACGGTTGTCAGCAGCCTATAATGAAGCGAATACAGAGCCCCATTTGTGCAAAGCATCCTCATATGCATGTCAGAAAAAAAATTAACATGGCATCCACTTAGTAACAATGGATGGCACGCTGTAGGAAAGGCGAGCTGGAAAGAGGAAAGGCTGGGCTTAGCATCAATGAGCGGACAAGAATCAGAAAATCTCCTGTTAATGGGGTGTTTATCACAGCAGACCTCTGACCTCAGGGCACTGCATACAGGCTTGGTTACTATGCCATCAGCCTTCATTGTCTAAGGGGCAGGCAGGCACTGGTCATGGAATGCAAAGCACATTCTCTCCATGGCAAGAGTGATCCATCCTGGAACTCAACCCCCACCTCCAATGAAAGAAAACAGCCTTTCACAATGAACTAGGAGTCCCTAAATCTCCAATCAATTCCAATGGAAGAGGAGGCTTCTGAAAGGGAGCACTGCAGACACCCATCATGGGCACCTATAGGCACCCTGATGCAAATCAAGGGCAATGCTACAGAATCATCAGACAGCCAACATGTCTCACTGCATACAGCCATGCAAGGATCGGTCGTATGGGTGCAGCTCCATCATCTATACAACTGTCTATACATTGATATTGCATGGATGAGTTCAATGACAAAAGCCATCACCCACAGCAGATTTCTATAGAGGCGATCCATGCATCCCCAAGGATGACAGCTGAATGCATCCCCAAGGATGACAGCTGAATGTATCCCAGTGATGACAGCTGAATGCATCCTGTAGATAAAAGACAGAGATCATCAAGCTGGCCCTTACCCTCAGCGCAGAGAGGTCTATCTCATCCAGGCTGCGAGCCGGGGAGTCGCTCGCCATGTTTCCTGCTCGCTGCTGTCAGATCGCGCCCCTGGCAGGCAGTGCGTCCACCTGGCTGTGTGTCCGGGGAAGGTGTGCGCCTGGCGGTGCGGCTGTCTCAGCGAGGACGGGGGGGTGCATTGAATTGGGGCATGCTCGTAGTGTGTGTGCTCGGGGCTGATCAGACACATACACACGGCTCTCTGATGAGAAAAGACTGTCACAGCTTCCTGGGAGGAACCAGACACCGGGAGGAGGGTCTCTCCGGAGCGATGTTGCAGAGCCGGCCTTTTCCTTTCATTGCTCTATAGAATAATGTATAGAGGAGACGATGATTGCGGACAAAAGCCCCCAGAGCCGGGCTCTACACTCCTGATGGAGGATCCATTCACTAGCCGAGGCTCAGACCCTCCCACTGCATTGTCCAAGCCCACATCTACACAGAGCAGGTACCTATGGAGCTGTCATGGGCTTTCATGGACCTCACGATTTATCGATGTGGCCCTCTGGGCTCCTATAATAGCTCTACTTGTATTGCAGGCTACACCGAGGTGACCACAGATGGTCTTCAGATATGTGGTGGTGGACCTCAGGGTTGACTGAAGATAGAAGTCACTATCTCTTTCTATACCAAGGTTTCTCCAAAGTTGGGATGAGTTCGGACGTAGGTTTGGACCGAATCTGGAAGGAAGCTGTCTCTGCTGCCCAAATGGTACCCAGTCCAGGGCACTGACCACCCCGCACTTGCACATATTGAGGGGACAAGGATGCTTGTGACTACAGATGAGCTTGGACACGTTCGGACGAGGACCCAAACCCACGTGTGCAAGGCTGCTGTTAGGGCTCTGTCACACAGATGTTCCAATTGGGTCCGCCAGCCCATTTTTCAGGTGGACCTGATCGAAACCTCCATTCTCCTCTAGGGAGCGGTGGGTGTAAACGGACATGAGTCCGCTTACACCCGCCAACATTTGATCCGATCTGCCAAAAAAAGGATGGATGGGGATCCAATTCCCCGTCCGTCAGATCGGATGATAATGGACAGGCCGTCTGTTTTCATCCGACCACCGATTGAGGAGAGCGAGCAGCTCTCTGTCTGCTCTGCAGCAGCAGAATGGACACAGAGCTGTCATCCGCTTGCTCAGTGGGGATCAGTGGAGAGATACCCCGCCGAGCAAGCGGATCCGCTAAACGGTCCACCCCATGTGAAAGGACTCTATGAAACCATGTGGCCCCATATGGCTAATCTGACAGGGCCCCCCAAAAACACATTACTAGGATTCAGTTATGATTGAACACAGTGAGTGATCCGTATCGATCACTTATTGTGTTCATTCAGGAAAGGGGACAGTAAATGTGACATATTTACTGGACCCTTCCCCCACTCTCTATCCTGAAGGATCTTATTGTGTGCTTGCAGATGCCGGTGGGAAGGAGAGGAGAGAAGTCGGCAGCACTGCTGGGGTGGGGGTACACAAGGGGACCTGGGTAGCAGAGGAAAATGTACAGTGCACAGGGAGGGTGGTGGGTACAGTTGGGAGGGCAATTACTGGAACCGATCCCTTGTATAGCTCTCTCTGCAGCAGCTGAAACCAAAGGGAGGGAGAGGAAAAGAAGCCAGCTTTCAGCTGCTGCAGAGAGAGCTATACAGGGGAGTGGTACACATCCAATTCACCCATCTGCCTGGGTCCCGTATAGGAGGACTGGTGGTACCCCCTTATCCACGACCCTGCATGTGTGCAAGTCCACCAGGAAGATGTCACCTGTACAGGTCAATCAACTATAGCTGGGGCATTCAACTCCCTGCTAGACATGAGCAATTTGTTTAGTTACGAATCAAAATTCAGACAAGATTTTTTTTATTCAGAGATTCGGATGTATCCAGATTTCTGAATCACTGTAGTAACGAATTTCAGCGAATCGGAAATAGATTATAACAAAACAAATTATTTGAATTTGAAAATGATTTTGAATTCAAAGATGAATTTGAATTTGAAATGGAAACCTATTGCAATAAATGCAGTAAGGTATAAATGTGAAATAAAATGATGATGATTCGTACTTAGTCTGCTTTATAGAATAAAATCGAAAATAATAGACTAGAACTGAATAAAACAGAATAGAAAATAAAGGAATCGAATGGAAAATAAAGAATAGAAGAAAACAGAATAGAATAGAAAATGAAAATAGAAAATAAACAAATAGAATAGAAAGAATAGATTAGAATAAAACAAACATATATAGCCGTCATCAGAATTTTTGATTAAAATTTCAAATTCGCATTGATTTGAAAATAATGAATATAAAAAAAATTCCAAAAATGAATCATTCAAATATCACGAAACAAAATTATATACTTAAACGAATCCACAACAAATTTTTCCGTTGTGAAGATCTCTACTCCCTGCAACAACACGTGTACAAGGGGAGTGTATACATGCAGCGTGAGGAATGCCTCAGCTGCAGAAAATTGGGACATGCAGTTGACAACTTCCTGGCAGGCTTGCACATCTGGGTTTGGATCCTAGTCTGAAGATCTAGCCTAGTTAGTGCTTCCACGTAAGAACTAACAAACTCATTGACTATTTATACACTGACACTAACTGCAATTTAATAAGCCACAGATGTGGGACATTAACCTCTAATTGGCATTTTAACCCGTGTGTGTCACCTTGTGTGTCTGTACCAAGGCCAAACAGTCCAGGGTATGTAAAACTTTTGATTGATTTTTTGGCCATGTATTTGGGTGATTTCTGTTATCATTATGATTTAAAAAGGAGCCAAAAAACTATTTGATAATTAATGGCTTCATATGATCATCATCGTTCAATAAAAGAGCATTTTTTTGGCATGATCAGTCATATTTTCATATCAATGCCAAAAGTTCACAATTTCTGTCAGGGTATGTAAACTTTTGAGCACAACTGTAAAGAGGGCCTTCTCCACTTTACCACCTATATACTCATTTAATAAAACAGTTCTCCACTGACCACCTATATAAGAAGGCCCTTCTCCACTGACCACCCATACAACTACACTATATTGCCAAAAGAATTGGGACTCTCCTCCAAATCATTGCATTCAAGTGTTCTTAATTACCTCCATGGCCACAAGTGTATAAGATCAAGAAATTAGGAATGCAGACTACTTCTATAAATATTTGTGAAAGAATGGGTCGCTCTCAGGAGCTCAGTGAATTGAAGCGTGGTACTGTGATAGGTTGCTACCTGTGCAATAAGTCCATCCATGAAATTTCCTTGTTACTAAATATTCCACGGTCAACTGTTAGTGGTATTATAACAAAGTGGAAGCAACTGAGAACAACAGCATCTCAGCCACGAAGTGGTAGGTCACATAAAATGACAGAGCGGGGTCAGCACATGCTGAAGTACACAGTGCACAGAAGTCACCAACTGTCTGCCAAGTCAATAGCTAAAGACCTCCAAACTTCCTGTGGCCTTCAGATTAGCACAGCAGTGCGTAGAGAGCTTCATGGATTGGGCTTCCATCATGCTTCTCTGGCAATCTGATGGACGTGTCTTGGTTTGGCGGTTGGCAAGTGAATGGTACTTGCCTGACTGCATTGTGCCACGTGTAAAGTTTGGTGGAGGGGGAATTATGGTGTGGGGTTGTTTTTTAGGGATTGAGCTTGGTCCCTTAGTGCCACTGAAGGGAACTCTTAAGGAGTCAGCATAGTAAGACATTTTGGATAATTTCATGCTCCCAACTTTGTGGGAATAGTCTGGGGATGGCCCCTTCCTGTTCTAACATGACTGCGCACCAGTGCACAAACCTAGGTCCATAAATACATGGATGAGCGAGTTTGGGGTGGAGGAACTTGACTGGCCTGCACAGAGTCCTGACCTCAACCCGATAGAACACCTTTGGGATGAATTAGAGCGAAGACTGCGAGCCAGGCCTTCTCATCTGACATCAGTGCCTGACCTCAAAAATGTGCTTCTGGAAGAATGGTCAAACATTCCCATAGACACACTCCTAAACCTTGTGGACAGCCTTGAACCCTACAAACTAAGACTGTGATGCCATTAAAGTTCATGTGCGTGTAAAGGCAGGCGTCCCATAGTTTTGGCAATATAGTGTATATAAGGCCCTTCCCCATTGATCACATACAGTTGTGTTCAAAATAATAGCAATCAGACATCACTAACCTGATCAATCACTGTTTTTGGTAGAAATTATATTTCTACATGCCAAATAATTTACTAGCAGGTGTAGTAGAGTAATAGAAATCCAACAGACCCAACAGTCATGACATGCATGTTGCTGAGTCTGTGTAATTGAATCACTAATTGAAAGGGGCATGTTCAAAATAATAGCAGTGTGGAGTTCTATTAGTGAGGTCATTCATTCTTTGAAAAACAGGTGTCATTATTGCCCTTATTTAAGGAAGGAAGGCAGCAAATGTTGTACATGCTGATTACAGTGCATTTCTCTCTGAAATTCTGAGGAAAATGGGTTGTTTCAGACATTGTTCAGAAGAACAGCGTACCTTGAATAAAAAGTTGATTGGAGAGGGGAAAACATATAAAGAAGTGGAGAAAATGATAGGCTGCTCAGCTAAAATGATCGCAAATGCTTTAAAATGGCAACCAAAACCTGACAGACGTGGAAGAAAGCAAAAAACTACAATTCGAATGGATAGAAGAATAGCCAAAATGGCAAGGACTCAACAATCAGCTCCAGGAAGATGAAAGAAGGTCTAAAGTTACCTGTGAGTACTGTTACAATTAGACACCTATGTGAAGCCAAGCTATCTGCAAGAAGCCCCCGCAAAGTCCCACTGTTGAAAAAAAGACATGTGCTGAAGAGGTTACAATTTGCCAAAGAGCACATTAACTGGCCTAAAGTGAAATGGCGCAACATTTTGTGGACTGATGAAAGTAAGATTGTTCTTTTTGGGTCTAGTGGCCGGAGACAGTTTGTCAGACGACCCCCAAACACTGAATTCAAACCACAGTACACTGTGAAGACAGTGAAGCATGGTTGCGCAAGCATCATGATATGGGGATGTTTCTCATACTACGGTGTTGGGCCTATTTATCGCATACCAGGGATCATGGATTAGTTTGAATACTTGAGGAGGTCATGCTGCCTTATGCTGAAGAGGAAATGCCCTTGAAATGGGTGTTCCAACAAGACAACGACCCCAAACACACCAGTAAACGTGCAACATCTTGGTTCCAGACCAACAAGATTGATGTTATGGAGTGGCCAGCCCAATCCCTGGATCCTAATCCAATAGAAAACCTATAGGGTGACATCAAAAATGCAGTTTCTGAGGCAAAACTAAGAAATAGAGAAGAACTGTGGAATGTAGTCCAATCATCCTGGGCTGGAATACCTGTTCACAGGTGCCAGAAGTTGGTTGACTCCATGCAACACAGATGTACAGCAGTTCTCAGAAACAGTGCTTATACAACTAAATATTAATTAAGTGATTCAAAGGAAAGCAAAATCTTCAAAAATTTTTCAGTTTATATAGTGAATGTTTGAGTTTGTAAAGAAGAATACAAACACTGCTATTTTGTTGAACAGTCTAATATTCACTTTTCTTCAATTGTTTTAGAGGAACAACACAATTTTTATATATTTTTCTTCATGTTTTGATTTGGAATAGAATGTGTAGTGTTCCCAATGTATTTTTGTGTATGGATATAAAAGCTATTAGAAGGATTTTGAGTTTTATTCACTTTTTTCAACACACTGCTAATATTTTTAACAAAACTGTATATAAGAAAGCCCTTTTCCACTGACCCCCTATATAAAGAAGGCCTTCTCCACTGACCAAATATACATGTATATAGGAATTCCCCTCTCCACTGCCCACCTACACACCTATATAAAAAGGCCCCTCTCCACTGACCACCTAACCAGCTGTATAAGAAAGGCCAATCTCCACTGACTGCCTATATAAGAAGGCATTTTTCCATGAACCACTTAGAGGTTCTTTTATATTAAATGGTTGAGAAAGGCTGTTCTAGAGCAGGGGCGGACTGACAACTCATGGGGCCCCCGGGCAATAGGGGATCATGGGCCCCTTGTGTCCTTGATCAAACTCAAAAAAGCCTATCAAAAAGGTACCAGGGGCATCTCATGAGGCCCCCTACTGACACTGGGCCCTCGGGCAGTGCCCGGGTTTCCAAATGGTCAATCCGCCCCTCTTCTAGAGGTTATCCCAAGGTGTCAGTGGAGCCATCATCAGAATATTAGAAAGATGAGAGCCACACAATGTTTGAGTAAGTCCAGTAAGAATTTTATTTTACAAAACAAAATCGAACACCAACACGTTTCAGGGGCTCAATGTTCTCTCTACATTCGGGGCATGTATGCTTGCAACATGTTTACATTTATACTGGAAAACTGATGTAAAACCAAGTGGATATCCCAAAATAATCCAGGTTGCCAAACTTTCATCTGTCAGTTTGGTGACCTGGGTTTTGTGGGCTGTTTTTTCCAAACTGTTGGTTTGGCAAGCTGGATTATTTTGGAGTATCCATTTGACTTAACAACTGTTGTCCAGGATAAATTTGAACTTACTGCCAACACACAAGCCTTATTGAAGGGGAGTCTTGGGCAATCGGGGTTAGAGGTTGCCAGAGTACAAAAAGGAATATTTTCAGTTTTGGTAAATGCTAGTTGGTTTGCTGCAGCTTCCTGATATTCACATCACTATAGGACAGTCTTTCTTGACTAGGGTTTATCTAGAGCAGGGTGTCAGCCACCAGTAGATCGTGGCCAGCTGACTGGTAGATCGCAATCAGGTCTTGTTGACCTGCCATCCCAGAGCATCAAACAGAGTGCAATGCAGAGGAGCTATTTGTAAAGTTGGAGCTATAGTAGGGAGCCTAGAGCCGCATAAGCTGAAGCTCCTCTGTAGTGCTGGCTAATGTCCCATGCAGAGTGATACCAACTGCACTCATCTCTTATCCCAGCTAGTGGCCTCCAGAGTGGTGCCAGCAGCAGGAAAGAAGAGATCTTCAAGTCAGTGTGAAGAAATACACTGGGCATAATAGTATACGGCTGCTTTCACACTACAGTTTATCCACACTGCGGGTGCAGTGCACTATTCCTGCAGCTTTCCTTAGGGTTTTCTATGCTTAGTCATAGACATCTCTCTCTCCCCTCTGTCTGTCTCTCTCTCTTTCTCTCTCTCTCTTCTCTCTCTCTCTCTTTCTCTCTTCCCTCTGTCTCTTCTTCTCTCTTCCCTCTCTCTCTTCTCTCTTCCCTCTCTCTCTTCTTCTCTCTTCCCTCTTTCTCTTCTCTCTTCCCTCTCTCTCTTCCCCCTCTCTCTCTTCCCCCTCTCTCTCTTCCCCCTCTCTTTCCACCCTCTCTCTCTTCCCTCCCTCTCTCTCTTTTCCCTCCTCTCTCCCTCTCCCCCTATCTCCCCCTCTCTCTCTTCCCTCTATCGTCTCTCTCTCTTCCCTCTATCGTCCCTCTCTCTTCCCTCTCTCTCTCTTTTTCTTCTCTCTTCCCTCTCTCTCTTCTTCTCTCTCTTCCCCCCTCTTTCTCTATCCCCCCCTCTCTCTCTCTCTTTCTCTCTCCCCCCGCTCTCTTTCTCTCTTCCCTCTCTCTCTTCCCTCTCTCTCTTTCTCTCTTCCCTCTCTCTTTCTTTAATCTTTCTCTCTCTCTTTTTCTTTCTCCTCTCTCTCTCTCTTTTTTCCCTCTCTCTATCTCTCTTCCCTCTCTCTCCCCCCCTCTCTTCCCCCTCTCTTACTCTCTTCCCCCTCTCTCTCTGCCCCCCCCCCTCGCCCCCTCTATCTCCCCCCTCTCTTTCTTCCCTCTCTTGTTCTCTCTCTCTCTCTCTCTTCTTCCGTCTCTCCTCTCTCTCTCTTCTTCCCTCTCTTCCCTCTCTTCCCACTCGTTCTTTCTCTCTTCCCTCTCGCTCTCTCTCTTCCCTCTCTCTCTCTCTGCTCTCTGTCAGATCGTATTGGGACTGCATACACACGCACAGTATGATTACCCCCCCCACCTCCTCTAAGGGCAGCAGGAAATGTGGGCAGGGGGTGGTAATCATACTGTGTGTATGCAGTCCCATATGATCTGTCAGTGATCGTGTATCATGTGCTGCATGGAGGACAGGAAGGAGAGCCCAGAGATCACAACACAGCTCACCTTTTCCTGGCTCTTTCCTCTCTGCCACTTCTCCTCTCATTGCTCCAGGCTGTCCCCTGGTCCTGGCTTTGAGTGTGGGCAGGGGAAGGAGCTCAGAGGAGAGCGGCCACTCAGGAACACCAGGGCACCCCCTTGATCCAGCCAGGTCAGTCTCTCCCTCCAGCAGCAGAAAGCTGACAGGAGGGAGAGGGGGAGAAACCTCAAACCGGCTTTCAGCTGCTGGAGGGAGAGATACACAGGGCATCCTACTGCAACTGCTCTCCCCCACCACACCTATCCTCCTGCTGTCCGGGCCACTTACAGGAGTACTGGTGGTACCCCTCTGATGGTGGACCTGCATGGCTCTGTGTGCCGCTACTCACCAGGTCCCTTCTTCCAGGGAGGCAGTGTCACCCCCCCTAAAAATTGCCGCCCTAGGCAAACACTTTGTTTGCCTTGTGGTAGATACACCCCTGGCTGCGTATA